TGACAGTTCATTGCGTAAAAGTGTTGCCCGCTTGCAAGCAGCTAGTGATTACAATCGATAAATATTCTATCGACTATCGACTGAATGTTGGTTACGCTTATGAAATAAATAGCCAAACTCGATTCATTTGAATCATCATCGCCCAATTAATTATTCGTCCAACTGCTGGGCACAGGTTATTCTATTCTATTGTATTTTTTATATGCATACACTAAGTTTAGCAGTATGTGTAAGTAAGTTTTTGAATTTAAAATAGGTACATAATCAAGTCTGCCTGTCGTTATTAAAATGTGTATGACTAAAAATGTATTTCTATACTAATAGTCCATCCGCCAAATTAAGAATAAAGAATACAATAACGCAATTAGTAATCATTAGAAAGTCGTAACAGTCACAATTCAGCCATTTTTGGCAAAATTTTATCTACTTTCACAATCTATCGATAAAATTGTCATGACTATTTAAAATTTTACGAACACTGGCAGCCCTGCAAATGTCATTTTACTCCATCTTCGAAAAAGACAGACTAGAGTATATATATATGCAATGGTCACATTTGTAACTTTGAAAAACCTAAAGTTGCGTGCTCGTTTTTCTCAGGGAATTCTGTCTTACGTATAAGTTCAAGCAATTTGACGATTTCAAATGTAATTTGTTTAAGTATCCATGAAATATACGTTTCATGAATTGCAATTTTATTTATGTATACTGGGGGCTACTCACTACGAAACGTAACGGATCACGACGGCGCCCCAATCCATGGTAATTAATTAAAGCTTTTAGAGACTGGTATATGGAATTAAAAACAATAACAAACTTAATTAGAATGAGGGCCTGGGTTCCCAACGAAGGCGGCCTGCACCAGACTCGTTTTGAATCATGTGGACTTTGCTAAATTATCAGGTACTGTGACGATCAAGCAAAACAACGTGAAAAAATCTGCATATCAGAGAATGTTATATGTGAACATTTCAGAACATTCTTCGAAGTCGTGTAACCAACCCTCATTAAATGGCCTAAAACGCTTCTCGTTAGAAAAGACCTGCCCCCGTAGCATGGCTACGCGATTAAATTGGAATAAGCGCGCGCTACTGGCTGTCTCAATCAGATGTAATTTAGATAGCCAACAGCGCGCGCTTATTTCAATTTTATCGCGCGAGTCGCGACATCATGCGTAGCCATGCTACGGGGGCTGAGTCTTTCATGAAAGCCACAGAATAAAGTTTTTTCAAGAAACCTAACATAGCCAATTACACCATTCATTACACTACGTCCCATTCGTATTAGGGGGTCTACTCTCGATCTCCGTCCGAAACAATTGCTGCCAAATAAGCAATACTTGACCAAATGAAAAGACGCGTGTTGCGAATGAAGCTTCATACTGGATATTTGTCTTTTAATTTTGTCGAATATTACTTATTTGACAGTAATTGTTTCGGACGGATGTCGGACGGAGATCGAGTAGTTTCAGTTCCGAATCCGAGAAAGTGACAGTCCGAAATGTCACAGGTGTCCGAAGTGTCATTTTATTTCTAACTTTGTGCATAAGCGACATCTGAAGTGGGTTGGAAAGCGGAAGATCGTCTGATGTCATATAAATTGTTGCTGTCAAATTTTTGACGGATAATTAATTTATACAATTGTTTAAATAGTAGAAAGAATTCAATATCAGCAGTTTGGCTTTCACCAGTCTGAAAGGCAGCCACCTAGCCCTAGCGCAACTATCAATCTGTTCATACATCTCACTCCTGGGCACGGGTCTCCTCTGAGGCAATTATTCGACACGCTGGCCCAATGCGGGTTGGGGACATCACATATTTTCCAAGGGTTATGAACATTCGTCGACGTGCAGGTTTCATCACGATGTTGTCCTTCACCAAAAACCTCAAAGTAAATTTCAAATTAAATTTCGCACATAAATTCCTAGGCTCAGACGTGCGAGCCCGGATTCGAACCCACGGCATTTGCTTAAAAGGCGGTAGGTCAAACAATTAGTTTAATCAATTTGTGGTGGAAGTACCAACTCAACATCTGTCGACCTTCATGAAGGAGGAGTTTTGGCCGTAGGGTGTCATGTACCAACGTTTCCGAGTCTGGCTACCGGGCACCCACGTTCCGTCTCACGTCGCACATAATACGACAATGCGTGTAAATAATTAGTAACTGTTATTATGTTAGTCTATAAGGTATGTATTTATGCGTCTTTGTAGAAAAATAAAATTAGTCTACCACGGCTTTTACTTTCACCCTATATAACACTCAATAATAAAATGCAGAAATTCGAATAGTAACTGTTTTGACGTGCGCAGTGGTAGTGCCCTTTAGATCTTTGCGGTTAAAAGCTCTGAATGGCACGGCAATTGTTATGGACAGGCGTGTCCGTTACCACCAGGCCCACGACTTGTTCGTTCAGTCACTTCATATCATAAAAAAATAAAAAAGACCCAAGGTCTTTTTTTGGTCCAAAACTTTGCCCTGTGGGCGCTGCCTGAACGAGGAGATCCTGAGTTCGATTCCCGGTAAAATCAATTTGGTAAACAACCTTTTTTAAATAGGTTCTCGTCTGGGTGTTCTGGGCAGTGAATTCCATTGTTCTGGTACTCATAGTACCGGGGATTCCCTTGTTTGAGACCAGGCAATAGGTGTGGCTGTTTAGTACGTTATTAGTATTATTGTTTGTCACGCCTGTCCATACTAGTTACAGTGCCGCTAAAAACGCACTGCCACTGCGCCTGTCTCCCTGATACATAAGTTGAAAAGTCTTATGTGCCTGTAATTTCACCAGCACCCTTACCCTTCAAATCCGTAACGCAGTAATGCTCGTATTACTGGTGGCGGCAGAAATAGACAAGGTGGCAAGGTACTACCCTGGACGAACTCTTTCACAAGGAGCTCTGCTGCTACGAAAACTGTTTTGGAAAACTGACAGTATAGATTTGAAAAAAATAAATCCTGATTTTGAAGCCAAATTCGGTATTAAATTGATGTCAAATGCTAAATTTAATTTGATATGAAAAAAAAGATAAGTTTATAAACTATCAGAACAGAGCTCTCAAAATAGTAAGTTACAGATCACACATGAGTCGCAAATTGTCGCGTTACGAAGAGAGGTTCACGTTTTAAGGTTATGTCCTTGAATTCTAGACGTAGGGTACAGGATCTTCTACATTTACATAAACTACTTCACGGCAGCCTTAAATCCTCAACGCTTCTGTCCCATATTAATTTTAACATCAAGTGCAATCCACGACGCTTTCCTAGACCATTCGTATTGAATGTTTATACTAATAATACTTCTTTTTACAACCCTTTGACGAGAATGTGTCGGGCCTACAACGACCTTATGGCTGATCCTGCCGATGATTTAGGGATGGATATATTTTATGGTAATGTTAAAAGACTTCGCAATCGAATTCACAACCACCACGGTTTCTCTTATTCATAGTTATAGTAATTTTATTTTATTTAAGGTTACAGTTTTATTTGTGCCTAAGTATTTTATATTAATTTACAAACAATTTATATTTCAAACAAAATTGTTTACTCATGATTGGTCATGCTGTATGTACATGTTTAGGTTTACATTCTAGAGTAGAACTAGTAGTAATGTTTAAGCTTTTGTTAAGGAGTGAATGTAAACTTTTTGTACATCTAATAAATAAATAAATATCGTACGTTTTTTAATCGATTTCGGCAGTTTCCCAAAAATTTTACTACGAATTTCGTCACTTTATTATTGAAGGTGAAGTATGTCGTTTAAATTAACTAAATCTATAAGTTGGATAGAGTCCTGGACCTTAAAATAAGAACAACCGCTTAGCAGCCTTCGAAATGTGGGTATACAGAAAAATTTTGAATATATCGTGGGCGGATAGTGTCCAATGAAAGAGTATTGCAAATGGTGGATAAGAAATTAGAGGTCTTGAGTACTGTCAAAAAACGCAAACTACAGTACTTTGGTCATACAATGCGTAATGATAATTACGACCTGCTCCGACTAATTATGCAAGGAAAAATCCAGGGAAAACGACAACCTGGAAGACGTACTTCAAGGCATAAGAATCTCCGGACATGGTTCAACCTGAGCACAAGATCCTTATTCCGTACAGCTAAGTCTAAAATAATAGCCGCCCTAATAGTAGGAGACACCTCGAGAAAAAGAATAAGTTGGATAGTTTATCAGATTACAATGGTTGAAATGACAGAAAATTATAGTAACTTAGGAACATAATGATAGTATTGACGCGATAAAAATGCCAGAGGAGTGATTCACGTAATCAGACCGTTAACGATATCGCTACGACTTGTCGTTGAACTACTTTTTCGTATTCACGTGTGACAGTAAACGTCAACGAGTCCAATTTTCAAGTCGTTCAATCCAAATGTCGTTAAAGCGTATTCTGGTATATGAATCAAACTTAAATCGACTCTACACGACAAGTCATACGTATTCTGCTAAAATTTTTACAGTTCTATCAATAGACTTTCGACGACTAAATGTCAAATTTCACAATCCAAGATGTCGTTCATTAGTCGTTACGTTTCGATTCTACTCATATCAAAGTTCGTTCAAGTGATACGTGATTACCCATTTTGGATAGGACTTCGATCGGACGACTACGTAACTTCAACGATATTTTGATAGCTTGAACTTACGTGAATCAGTAAGTAGTAGTCGTCGAAAATCTATTGACAGAACTGTCAAAATTTTAGCAGAATACGTATGACTTGTCGTTTAGAATCCGTTTAAGTTCGATTCATATACCAAAATACGCTTTAACGACATTGGGATCGAACGACTTTAAAATTGGACTCGTTAACATTCGACTGTCACAAGTGAATACGAAAAAGCAATTCAACGACTAAATCGCTACGATATCGTAACAGTTTGATTACGTGAATTACCCCACTGGCCAGCTTCTCATTCGAGCTACTAACCACACTAAAACGTAATGAGTCATCCCAAGCTCGAAGCGAAATAAAAATATAAATGAACTTGCTTTCATGGTCACTGTAGAACTCAACCTTGACGCCTTCAGTCTTCACTTGAACGGGCCATGCACTCGGCGCTGTGTGTATACATACACATAAAGCTAAGGACAAATCTAGCGGAATTTACGCGACTTAAATTACGCGCGACGTCGATCGTGATAAGTTAAAGCGCGTTACAAGCTTATTACGATCGAATCAAGTTGTAGAATAATTGAAATGCGCGGACTTACGGTAGTAAGTAGTTTGTTAAGGCTCATGAGACAATGTACAAGTACTAACCTACAACATTTTTTAATCGCGCATATTTTAAAAGTCACGTAACTTCCTCTAGACGTTTCCTTAGCCTAAGGGATAAAGGCTGATTTGAATTGTTCCGGTAGCTGGATCCAACGTTACTTTAGACTAGCATTGGAATCATGTTACATCTACATCTGTTTTCATAAATGTGAAGCTTTGTATTGTATAGGAAAAGAGACGTAATCCAATTTACATTTCCCACAGATCTCGCTACGGCAAAAAAGTTGTTAAAAAACCAAAAGAAAGATCGCTGGTTCGTTCCATGGCTTAGTTGGCATGGCATCTAGCATGATTTGCTAGAAGACGTTGGTTCGAATCCAACCGGGTGGAAGGAATTTTTTCTATTGTATTTATAATCATAACTATCGGAGAGAAAATAATTGAATATCATAGTGGCGAAACACCCTGACTTTCAATTAACTTAATTATTCAATTTAAAATTAATTAGCGCCATCTATGAAAGAAACCCGAAAACCAATAAAAAGCTGGATAAGTTAACATAGATCTTATGTGTGATAGTAGAAGTAGATCACCTGGCCTTCATATAGATGGCGTTAACAGCAGCTTTGGATTTATTACAGAATCTTCCTTAGGTCCTTTGCCAGTCCAACGATTGAATCCAGTGACGATCAATCAAGCCACTCGATACAAAGTGAATCTTAAGCCACACTTGTCGGAACAATTCAGCGTTGTTTTTAACTGGTGTTAAGAGTCACAATAAAAATTTTAAATACTTAATAAATAAAATGTGAAACAAAGTATGTACATACATCTACCATTCACCTGTTAAAAGTCGACACAACCTCAAATGGCTTTGTATGATTCCGCATAACTGTGAAAGTGTTGAATTAATCGCTTGAAAAAAATATATAGTAAAATTGGGGATATACACTGATTAGTATACGGTGTGAAAACATATGATTCCTAAAATTTTCACGATAGAAAAAAACACAAACTTTCCTCGAAATTTTACAAGAAAAACCGCTGTATTCAAAAGGTACTTTCCATATACCAATGTTTTTTTATATAAACTGAACTAAATAGGACTAACTAAATAGAGCATACGACATACATTTACCACATAGCCATTGACTTACAATTATATGGACGTCGGGTCCGCGCTAAAGTGTCCGAACTTATAGGGCGTTAAAATCGTATATAGAGCGTCATTCACGCTCTAGTCTTCGTTTGTTCGACTGACAGCGAAGCAAGCAAAATTAGACAGTACTGCGATGACATTACAATTTAAATTCAACGTTTTAGCTTTTTCATATTCCTTTACATGTCACTACGTTTAAATAGGTTGACTTGGGACATTTTTTTCGTGGTTTTTGTATTAGACCCGTCGTCCATTTATTTGTAAGTCAATGCACATAGCTTTAATTTCGATTGAAAAAAAAAACAAAATTTGAAATAAAGCCAGTCCCAGTGTCCGTGCTGCACGACCCGCGCAATAGAATCGATTCAGTACGAGAAAAATTTTAATTCCAGCTGAGATAGTATCGACTCTTAAATAAAAATATTTTTAAATTGATATACAACATGTATGAAACTACAACAAAATAAACACGCAGAAAACGACGTCTAATTAGGTATAGGTAAAAAGGTTCATTGCTTACTTGCAACAGTGATGTAGGTGTGCTGCGCTTCGGCCGTGGGACTCGAGTGACCAGAACTATCGCCATTCACCTCCACTACTGTGCTGGTCACCTGCAGATACATCAGCAACAACGTGAAAGTGCAAATAGCATCGGCATCACGCATTTAAGCCATTATGTTATCATATCGATGGCATACACTATACTATTGTGGCCCAGAACCCAATTTAGGGCGTACCGGCTTATTAGTTACTTGTCTATCGTACTCATAAGCACGTTTAAAGCATTTCGGTAACATACAAATAAACAAAGAAAAGGAAACTGCCAGAACCGATGATTCTTTACAAATAGTCAAGATCTCTAAATGCGGCCTATCTCACCAGCAAGAGAGTCATGATGGTAAGTATGTTTTCAAAAAAGTTTCCGATTATTTCTTTCGATTATTTACAGAAACAGTTATCAATTTGTAGTTCATAATGCTGCACTAATGAACAAAATGAGTGAGGAATTTATATATAATTATCGAAACAACAATGACTATAAATCATTTATTAACAAACATTTTTTTTAAACTGAAGATATAAACTTTGTGTTGTAATTTGCTTAATTGTTATTGTATGAGTATGTAAGTTAGCATGTTTTCGTACCTGTATTGATATAATTAAGTTGTTTTTTTGTGTAATGACGGGACACTAGTCTTTTTATGTTACTTTTGCTCCATTATATTTTTTTATCGCCGCGGATAAAGCCGGAAAGGCTTTTGTGAGCGATGCTGGTAATTAGTACCTAAATAAGTATTTTTTCTGAATTTTGATCAATAAAAAAAAGAAAAATTAAGAATGTTTCGTTACGATAAAAAAATTCTAGGCGACACCCAAACGCTGGACACAGAAAATATTTTAAAATCTTTTATATATAATGCATTACCTCTTTCAACTTCACCTGAACGAAAGGAACATACCTGATGTATGGCATGTTGTAGATGTATGGAGTTAGGTAATTCGGGAATGACGATGAGCTCACGCACGGCACTCGGCGAGGCGCCGCCCGCGCCTGTTGCCGGCCCGCCCGTGCCATTGCTCTGAATATAATACAATTCATTATATATCATCGGGGACAGTGCAATTACGGGTAACTAGCATTTGAATGTGAGTCTCCATTTCGGTAATTTAGTCGCCAAATCAAATACGCGTAATTATCGTGGCAACCAAATTAGCGTGATTTACGGGAATTTATTGTTATCAGTCCGTAGACAACATAAATTACTGCTTACTGTGCAAAAATTTAAGCCGTAGCCATTGAAATAATAAAGTAATAAAGTTAAATCCCTCTCCTGTGAAATTTGGTTTAGACAGATACGCGCTTTTTACCAATACTACATACGCGGATTTGCACAATCCCCGACGATATGCCAAATTATGTGTGATCATAGTGATACGCGTGTCATGTCCAAAGTAGAGTATTCTGAAAAGGCTTCAACGAGACCCTACAGATAATATAATACGTCAAAATATAAAAAAAATATAAAATAGACCCGGCCTGCCATATCTCAAAAGAGATAATTAAAAGTTAATTGCAATTGACGTTATTAACTCGCTATTCCTAGTTACGATTCACCCGAAACCTTTTAACGTGGCATTCCTATCATAAGAAAAACCAACTATTTGTCGGTATTTGTACTTCAAGTACAAATCGATAAACATCTGCTATAAGAAAGTCCAAAAAAGTTCTGGAAAGTCAAAGAACAAAAACTAATTGATTTTATTGATATGAATGTCATCGTGTCATGCGCAAACCAGAATCAAATTATTAATCGAGTTAATTAAAAGTAACTTTGTATAAGACTTACTTCTATTAGAGACCCCACACACTAGCGTCTTGCCATCAACGCACGCACAGCGTCGATACGAGGACGTCCGCGCGACGGCAACGCAACGTAGTTTCCCTGACTAATTTATGGATGCAACAACGCCAGCACAGCGATTGTTGAATAATGCCGAGTTGTATACGCCGCGTTGACGTTGCGTCACGGTCGCGCGGACGCCATCATGTCGAGGCTGTGCGTGAGTTGGCAAGACGCTGACGCTCGAAAGACGCTAGTGTGGGGGGTCTTTTAGTGTCAAATTAATGCCTAAACTTATAATAAATATCAGTTCAAATCTATTCCTACCTGTGTCGGCTGCGCGAGTCTAGCTGCCATTGCGGGCGAGCCGGGCGGTGAAGACTCCACTAGCACCTCGTCACCCGCGCACTCAAAGTCTGCAAAAACAATATTCAAAGATTCTGAACAGACCACTACATCAAAAACCTAGTCAAGGAAGTCTTCCTTTTGGTAACAGCGTAACGAAATTAACTCTTAAGCCGTACTAAGAAGACATACACCCAAATAAAAATTATAATAGTTTCTCTCCAATTCTTTCCACCGTAAATCGTACGTGTTCTAAACCGTGGAGTCACCGAGTTTTACATTACTCACCAATTTGTCATAACTATGTACTAGGCAATGTAACAGGGCAAAGGTAACATCAACAATTATATACCACAGCAGTTTTCCTAAAAGCTAGATCTAGATACAATGAACCTAATAACTCCCTGGCTTCTGTATACAAATCTTGAGATTACACCCACAGTGCAAACTGAACATGTATCAGATGACTACATTAAGACCAAGCATTTTGAGGTGAAAAGCAATAATAAATTAAGTATTTAAAAAACATTTTTGAGTCATTAAAATCTTTATAAAAGAGGTTTTTAGTGTATTGAAAAAGATGTAATACCAATAAATGCTTAATACCATCAAAGCATTTAATAAGTGACATCATTAGCTGATAACTGCATGGCTTAAAGCCCTCTTGAAGGCAATTAGGGGGATTATAACCCCTTGTTACCTGTCTGCACCGTACTCCAGGTATTGAATATCACTTCAGAAATGTGCACAGATTATACAAATGTTAAAGTCACACACTAAAGTAGGATTTTTTATTTTTTTCATATGTTTATAATATATTAAAGATTGAAAAATACAAAATCAACCAACAGTCTATGTATTAATAAAAGGTTCTAGAATAAAGTAGTAAATACTAATGTTACTTTCTATAGTGTAACATTCATTCCACCATACATTCCAAAAAGATGCTATGGGTTGTGACTCAAAAATAAATCATGTATCAAAAAACATTAAAGTATAACAAACTTGTTTAAAAATACAAATTAAATAAAAAAAATTGTTGTGAAAAAGCATTGCATAATACCATCCCAGGTGATAGAGATGTTATTGATCTGCCGGGAATGGTGCGGAGAGTATCCACGGAGCGTATCCTGGCAACACCTCATCCCTCCGCATCTCAACACAAGTACAGCACAAATTATACTCACTCTCCAGGTAGAACACGTTTTCAAAGCCCATTTCGGACATTTTTAAAAAGCAAAACACAATTTTTAAAAATAGAAATGCACAAATACACAAAGACAACACATTGTAGCTTCCAACTGATGAGTACTAAGTTGTAGTATTGATCAAACAACCGTTTCTATGTTGGACATGAGCTTGACTACTACAGTGATGCTTTTTTGCTGTTTAGGTGGTGTATGGAGTGTGTTCAGGTAAGTAGTGTAATTTTGTGACGTAGGAATATAGTGAGGGTGTGGGCAGGTGTTAGGTCACGGTTGAATAATACCACCTGCTTTAGTGCAATATGCTTGGTTGACTATTATACCATTGGTAATAGTAACATTTGTGTTGTTTATATATCATTATGTACTGTTTAGTGGAATTGGCATATTGTATAGCAGGAAAAGGAGTACCTAAAATTAGATAGAATGTGAATTGAATGTCGTTTTTAATATTTCCATCATTCTTATAGTGTTTCTAAATAAAATTTTAAACATTGTGCAGATTCAATTTTTTTTATTATAAAAAAAATATATTTATTTATTTATCAATTTAATTAATTGAGATATGTTGTGATAGCTTCGTACGTAGTAAACGAAATATGCCTGCAATAACTTGCGTGTTCACCTAGGGAGGCCTATGTAATAATTACATGGTTATGGTACATAAATGTCCCTAGTATGTCGCAGGTAATTCACAGGCAGGTGGGCGCGTGCCGTGCCAGGCGCCGCCGCCGCTGTCGGGGCACCCTACTCCCCGTCTGTGATAAAATTGATACGCAACCGGGACCCGGGATAAAAACAGCCGGACGGAGGGAGCCACCGCTTTGCGCCGCTTCCCGCCCGCCCGAGTACACGTTCGCTCCCAACCACCATTTTATATTACTTTAAATACCTACAACAGCTTTAAACATACGATAAACTCAACAAAACTACGAAACCCACCTGCCAGCCATTCCTAGACCTGTCAAAAACTTCATTTCCTTAACACAACCACTTGTATTGAACTAAAAACCCACCCTAAACCACAAATTACATATGATAATCCAATTTTACTAATCTTATAACAATTTTATATAACGCGATAAGAAATTGACTTATCAATGTTGTTGTCTTGTAGCTACACCCGTTTCCTAGGCTACGAACTCCATCCGGGCAAAAAAGTCGTAAAACTAGTGATGTACTATCTACTGTACTTTTGCGATCGATAAATAAATATTTTTATTTCAAAATGTTTACAGTATGGGCATTTAACGTATAGTATACGGTATAAATGGTATTTTTTATGAAAATACATATTATTCGACAAAACTACATTCTAGCTAACAATCATTTGTAACTTCAAAGGTGTAAACTTAATATTTCATTATTATTTACCGGTCGCGTATTTGACTTTACATTTATAGTAAGTGAACTTAAAAATTTGATCAAACCAAATGATATGGTAAAACAATAAACAAACATTATAAAACAACGACCCGGTTCGCCGTCTCCGCTCCGCCAATGCGCGCCGCCCCCTTTTTATATTAGGATATCGATTTTAGTTTCTATTCCTATAGATTTCACTTTATTGGACGTTGCTTTATACACCTTGAAAAACAATGCGTTTCTATTAATTCCAGAGCATAAAAATATTAAATTCATACCATCAAACGCTTCAAAAATGTATAATGAATTTCCTGAAGCATCATCCATACACCCTTCTTGTTTTACGTTCATAATGTACTTTTCTAAGAAGTTCACAAAAGTTTATGAAGTAACACAAAGTGTTAAACAAGGTGCCGGAATATCTCCTAGGTAATTTTGTTATTTATTTACGTAAATTGAAGATATTCAAATAAAATGTCTTCCTCGTCATTTTCTTTTAAATAATGTCATAAAAGATTTTACAAATCTAGATGGCCATCTAGACAATCAAACGAGTTTCAATACCTATTTATCGTATCTCTATGGACTAAATTCACTTTTCATTATTTATTACCTGGAAACATTGACTTACGGAAAGTATTATTTTCGATCAATCTTTAAATGTTTTATGTGTTCAATGATTAAAAGGATTTTTGTGTTTGTTGAATACTAGTTATTAGCGATATATATATTCAATATATTGTTTTTCATTTACAAGTTTAGAGAATGTATTTCTATGTATTTCATTAAATAGATGTTACCTTGTCATTGTTAACTTGAAGAGATACGTATTACTGACCCTCAAAATTTATAAAACCATGGTGTGGAACTATACAAAACTGTACAGACACCGACATCCCTATAATTAACAACAGGCAACATTTATAATTCTAATTTACAATTACAATTGGCAACATTTGAAGCTGTCCAATAGAAATGCGTTCGTTTTGTGGACAAATAAATTATTCTCCAAAAATATTTAATCCAGTTCTAATTGCAGTAAAACTGGATAAATAAATTCAAATAGCAACTAAAATTATTTTCTTTTTCTTTCATTCTTTGATTGTTTGAGCCCTGATTAATGCACGGGTTCCTGGACACATTTTAGTAGTCTTCGTAAATATGAAATAGAAACGAATGTACTTTCTCCATGAACGTCAAATTGACAAGAATAATTTGTAAATTGAGTCTTGAAAATCATTGAAAATTGTAATTGATTCAATCGATGGAGCTATAACACTTTAAAAGAAGAAGATTCAATGTATAAAAAATGAAAATTACAGTGAAACAATTACAAGGGGGTGAATGTAGCTTGGAGGTAATAATTATTTCTATGGTTATGGTTCCAAAAAACTGTAATGCAAATGTTACTTCGCGGATTTCTAATTTACGTTTTTCTCCGATATACAGGTATCTCCAGCTACTTTAATCTCTGAAATAAAGCGTGAAGTGGCAGAAAAGCTTGGCATACCAATTGAGGAGCAGAAAATACTTTTATTAGGCCGAACCCTGTCAGATGAGCAAACTGTCGAGTCCTATCCTTCAATCAAAGAAGGAACTAAACTAAACCTTGTTGTAAAGAAGCCTGAAGGTCTATTTGAGGCTTCTGTAAAATATTTCAAGAGCATCGGCATGAATGATGTACAAGCTGTGAGTGCAGGCAATGAGCTGCTGAAAGTTTTAGAAGAGAAAATTTATAAAATGTCGTGGGATGACCTTGATAGGCTTTGTTATGATATTTTATCGGAGGAAAGTGGTCAAAGCAGGCCCGTGTCACATCAGGTTGAGTCGGAGCCTGAATGCGAAGATTCATTCACTCTGTAACCTTTTAGCATTCCGTTAGATATTTTAAGGATTTTATAAATAATTATGATTAAGAACTTGAGGGATGACGTACTTGGTACTTGGTGTAACGGGCTGGTGTGATGACATTTTAAATTTATGATATAATATATTATCTTGAAGATCGTTGTTTGTTACAAATTTGAGCCAATCATAGTTAACCTGAATGTAACCTGTCAAGACTTTTTATGTGCCTTGAAACACTATTATTACGAAAGTGTGTTAACACTACAAGTTTCTAAATTTTTATACCCTTAACCATTGATATTGTAATGTTTTTAGTTTTTATTTTTTGTCATCACCTAAAAATGTTGGGACCCGTGTAACACAGCAAGCATGTTGACACCAACAATGAACACTATGCTAAGTCGAATGTCCAATTATTGAAAAATTTAAAGTTATTATAACTTGTAAATAACTTGTAGTGTCGATGTCCATGTGATACAAAGGAAAAGTTTGAGTGTAGCTACGGACAATAACTCAAGAAGACTACTAATCGATACAAGCCAACATAGTCGGGTATTCAACACAAGCACAGCTATTTTGTACAATGTAACCTTTACAGGGTTTGCAGAGAAGCAAAGTAATCCTGCCATCCTTGTCATAACTAACATATTTGCATTTCAGTAATTTTCAAGATTTTGTTGGCACCTGAAGTTTTATTGCCACCCAAAAAACTCGAATTACAATGATTTTGCTTAACAATTAAATTGAAACTAAATATAATATTTTAAAAAAACAAAGAGGAGCTTGTAGATTTTGTTTCGTTGATCTCAGATATGTTTATAACTGCATTTAGCTAAAAATGTCGATAACATTAGTTATTATAAGAAGGGCAGAATTTACTTCCATTTTTATATATTGTTTTATTATATATCTTCACTGAACAAATTAAGCCACCTGGAGTTTTGATTAGTTCAATTATGTCTTCCTTTAATGTATTTGCAGTAGCTACCATGAAATAACTTAAGTTAAAAAAAAGAATAGAAAAGTAATTAAATGCAAAATGTGTCATTTTGTAAAATGCATATGTTTATGGTATTTATATATTAAATAAATTGTAATCATGCAGCAACAGTACGAAATAAACTTCAGTAAACTATTCCATTGTTTTTATTTATTTTATTACATATTAAATCATATCTAACTCACAAATTACTGTCTGATGGCAAGTTCAACACTTTAAGTGCCCATCTTTAAAACAAACTCGAATTCTACATTGCTTATTTATTATATATTTAAAGTCAGGATTAATCATTTATAAGGCTCAATCCACACTGGAAAGGCAGCAGTGCATTATTACAGAAATTAAAATGTGATAATCTATAATAGACACAACATCATATGACATTAAATAATTGTTACGAAATTATTGCCTTTTTGCAGTAGATATTGTACATCACTATCAGTGTTAATAGATTCTAAGGGTATAATCAAACGAGCTAAATGCTACCCGCACTAGCAGTCTGCTGTTATGATGCAAGTGAAATGCAAACAACATGCAGTAGTACCTCTCGAAGCTCGTGTGATTATGCATAACACAATAATTCTGCAATGTTTAATTCCCCTAAGATGCCATCATCAACCTTCATTTTCTTGGTAGTGTGTTAACACAATGTAGATAGAAGACAGGGGTTGTGTTAAAATGCTGCAGGTAGCATCCGTCGCGGTAAAAGACTGCAGTATACCATTATTGACACACAAAATTTTTGTCAAATGTTATTTCTGTGTACGTTACAATAATCAAGACAATACATACAAAGTATTAATTATTAAGAAAAATTTTTCCTTGTAAATTATTATCAATGAATATGATGTAATAAAATACTATTTTAAACTATTCACAACATGTTTCAAAAGTGGACTTGTGTTTTTAACATTGTGTGTAGGGCTATAAATGCCCAATTAGTAAATACTACAGACACAATAATAACAATTTATGGAAATAGTCTACTTGGGTAAGTTCGACAGGGTTCAAGGTAATATTGTTAGGCGTAAAGTATGTAGATATATTCGCACTATTTTTTTTTAAACACGTTCGTGATTATTTAATATAATCATAAAAGTAAACACATATTACGTATATAAGGTCATTTCATATTAATATTTAAATTATATCTTCTTTTACTAGATTCATTTTTTTTTCAATTTGATAAATAATTTTTTTTAATTTGTTTAAAGTCAATGCATTTTTTTATTCTTATTTTATTTTTAATGGTCTATTATTTAAGCTATATGTTTTTTGGTTGTTGTGTTCTAACCCATGACGCGTTTCTAATCATAATTCATACCCCATTTTGATATGGCGTATTTATTGTTTTTAACCAACTTCAAAAAAAGGCGAAAAATTAACAATTAAACTGTATTTTTTGCATGTTACGCGATTACTCGGACCGTGAAAGGGAGTATCGTAACTTAGTAGTGTATTCTTTTCAAATTTGAAGAAAATATTCCACTTCTACGATATCAGCAAACAAATGCATGCAGCAGACAAATGAGAGGAACTCATGAACAGTGTACAATCTACCTTGTGCTTGGACTCAAAAGATTCATTTTGACCAGGACTTTCATTATCAATACCAAGTAGATAAAACTACACGAAATATTCTACAACGTTGAGTGACTTAAACGACAGTCATGAACTAAATAGATCACTGCCTACATTCAAATATAGGTGAACCAGAATTTCTGGTATCTCTGGCAATGATTATACAGATTATAGTACCTTAGTATTGATACTGGAATGTCTTGTATAGTGCAAGTACTATATAATTTCGTTGCTACACGATACTTTGAAATACTCGAAAACGATAAAACACCAATCACAGAATATCAGCGTTGGGTTGTTTTGCATGCCGACCCGACAAATGCTGAGTGGTGACCATTTTGGATCTCAATATCTAGTACAAATTAAGTTAGTATTGATACTGGAATGCTTTTCAGTTAGGGTGCGTTCCCACTATACCGTCACGTTTTATTATCTTTGGACGACTATCGTGTCTAGCCTGCTCCAATATCACGACTATCTGTCGTGGACGATTTTTTATCGTTGAACGACTGTCGTGACTAGCTGTTGCCACTAGATCGTGACTACAATTTATCGTTTCACGACAGCCTCCTTGTCGTTTGCACGACAGAATCGTTTGATACACTGCAGTCGCTTGTTTGTTCTTTTGGAAGCCGGTAGTGTGTGTTCGTTCGAAATAGATGAACACGAAATTTTAATAATGTATTACTTTTTAAAAACGCGGAAGAGGAAGCAAACAAAGAAAAGAAAGTTTTGGGTACATCCAATGCTACTAAAAAGAATTCCATTAGGGTTATGTCAAACGTTTATTGATGAACTTTTCAAGCGAATCTGTTCAATAGAAAGGTAAATCGAACTGTCCTGATAATAAAGCAACAAATATTTTGTAATAATATGTATAATTAAATTTGAACAAAACTCAATTCACAACAAATATTTAGACGTAAAAGCTTTTGCCTTCGATTTAGGGTTTAAACCCGGCGTTAACAAAACGCCGGGTTAAAACCCAGGCGCTTACCCATCTCAGGCTACGACCCAACGCTACTGCAAAGCGAGCAGAGGGCGCGGGGTACGAGAGGGGAGGGCAGGGAGCAGAATACGTGCGGACAGCACGTTTTTATCGTGACGTTATTTTATTGTCTGACGATTGTCGTTCTAGCTGTTCCCACTGTGACGACAGTTTGTCGTTGAAATGGTAAAAAATCGTGAACGACAGTTAATCGTGTCGTGCTATATGTGAACAACTTCGTTTAAATATACAAGCCACGACATTGCAAACAGCACGACAATCTGTCGTCACGACATAGTGGGAACGCGCCCTTATAGTTGAGGAGACCGCGGATAACAAACTGTTAAGGTCGGGTTTTTATAGAAAAAAGTTATAAAAATTGTTAGTATTACAATTGCCCTTTTGTTTTGATTTCTTTTCTATTATTATGTTATTCTATATTTCATGGTTTATTGTTCGTGGTTTTAAATGCAAAATAGATTCGATTTTTTAGTAACCGACTTGAAAAAAGTAGGAGGTTCTCAATTCGACTGCGTTTTTTTAGTTTGTTCGTATGTTACGCGATTACTCCGGCACTTGTGGACCGATTTTGATGATTCCTTTTTGTAGGAAAGAAGGTACCTCAGTATTGGTCCCATTTAAATTTGAAGACAATAAATATTCCACCTCTAAGGGTGGCAAACCTGGGGCAGAATCCGATTGCAATAAAACTTTTACAACATTACATTACAACATTTAAAAAAAGCCGAAACGCAAACTATTGAAGACGGTTTTTTTTAAATAAAAAAGTAATAATTATTCTCTTGTACTTTTAAACTCTAAAAATTTATATACCTATCGCTTATACAATAATAATACCACCTGTGTTTTTATTATTGCTGTTATAAACACTAAACAGAGGATATTAACCATTCTTAATATTGGAAGAGGAATAAAAAGTCATATCGTGGTAAGACACCCGTAATTAGTCTTATAAAAAGGTACAGCTGTTATTTTGATTGGCCAAAGTTACCCAAGTTGAATATACTACGTCACAAACATTTATTATCATAAATTTATGTTTCCGATCATTCTCTAGCTAGTGTTTTGCAATTTTTATTAAGTTTTGTTGCATTAGATTTTTATTTATCGTGCAATATTATTTAATATTCGAGTATTGTATCGTGAAGTATTATTTAATAATTACACGATAATATATATACTCGGATAATTACATAATAAAAATAAGGAAATTAGGTAGTGAACGCTAGTATGAGAATGACCGTTTCATTGTACATTAATGCAGTATTTTTTTATTATTTAAAAATTCCATTCGCCCAAGTAGACAAAACTACACGAAATATTCTAAAACACTGAGTGACTTAAACGACAGTCATGAACTAAAGAGATCACTGCCTATGTAGTGACTACATTCAAATATAGGTGAACCAGAATTTACAGTATCTCTGACAATCATTATGCAGATACTATAGTACCTTAGTATTGATACTGGAAGACCTTGTATAGTGCAAGTACTATATAATTTCGTTGCTACACGGTACTCTGAAATACTCGAAAATTATAATATATCAATTATCATAACACCAGAATATCAGCGTTGGGTTGTTTTGCATACGCAACCCGACAAATGCTGAGTGGTGACAGTCAATTATATTTTGTGAAATTACTCCACTAGTTTGTTATAATTTTATTAAACAAAGATAGATAGATGACGAAATACTTAAGATTTCTCATAGATGGCGCTACGGTTAAAAAGTAGTTGGAAAATGAAATACAAAAACACGACAACAAACACATAGAAAAATTCGTGAGGTTCGCTGGTTCGTTCCGTGGGTTGGCACGGTATGCTAGAAGACGTCGCTTCGAATCCAGCCGAATCGAATTTTTTTTCTGAGTGTTCAATCTTTATATTCATAATCATAACAAAGATAGAACAGTTACAAAAAAATCACTTCGATCCGGTTGAATTCGAACCAACGTCTCCCAGCTAAACGATCCAGACGCTTTGCCAACTAAGCCTCGGACCTCACGAATATTTCCATGTCGTTGCTGTAGATATTTGTTTTGATTTTTAACGACTTTTTTGCCGTAGCTCCACGTGTAAAAAATCTATGAAAGTTTTTCTTTTTGCAGGTTTATTAAATTATTCATCTAGCATTAAGATTTACTTCATGTTAGTCAAAAGAAAATGAATCAATTTATTTCTTTCTAATTACATGGTCTCAACAAGTAACAGAGCAAAAAAATTCACCTTGGAACACCACCCAGAACACTCAGACCAGAAACATAATTTTATTTATTCGTATTTCAAAATGAATGACAACGCAAAAGCTTCATCTAAGCCACGTTACGTGAACGTGAGCTTAGATGAAGCTTTGACTTAGTCGAGTAATTTAAGTAACCTGTGGCCCCTTGCCA